ACTGCCGGCCAGTGGGGGTTAGATTGAATACACACACACATGTCAGGAATGCTCACGAACCCCCAACATTTGCCAGAAAACTTACTTCTAACTCAAGGTATCTTCCAAATAAGCTCCAAAATTGCGTTTTTTTTATCAAATGTTAAATTCAGTCCTCTATATCCGTAATACGCGCGCGAGGCTCAAACCTTTGTGGACTACTTTTTTTTTTAAATTTACTGCTATTAAATCAAATATTAAAAATCCATCATCACCATCGCAGCGAACAGAAATAGTTTTTGAAGTGCTACAATAATCCGTTAGAGATAACTTCGTCGAGATACATAATTTGTCAATTCATTAAAAAAAATTACTGGATAACTGTTCAAAAGACAGTTTAACGTGTGAAATGCAGTGTCTTTTAAATTTTGTAAGGGTTGCTGAACGTTTGATGTGTCTAGGCATCGAATTGAAAACATTTATTCCTTTATAATATAATGAATTTTGTGAAGCCAAGTCAAGAAATTTCAACCGCGTTTCTAGTATTATATCTACGAAAATCACTTCCTCTTTCAATTCGATCACACAAATATCGAAGCAGCAAACCGTTAAATATAAAAATGAACACCATAGTCAAAAATACAATTCTTTGCTTCACCGACAACCATTGTAAGGCATCTAGCATCAAAGTTGAGGAAGTGAATCTATTACATCTCAAAATCAAACGCATTATTTTATTTTGCAAGCGCTGTAATCTCGATATTTAAGTTGCATAGGTTAAAAAAAAATGGAAGGGCAAAAGTCTAGTTGCGGAGAGATGATTGATTTGTATAGCTGTATTTTACTGGTAAAAGTTTAATCGTTTTCCAGTCGACATAGAATTCCATACATCTTGGCAGTTTTCTTGACGGCATTGTCAATGTGAGAGTTGAACTTAAGTGTGTCATCAATAATCACGCCCCGATATTTAATCTCCCGAACGCGATCAATAGTCTCATCATCAATTACAACAGAGACTTTCTCATTTACTCTATTCCACGAAATTACCATAAATTTAGTTTAATTGTATTCAATTTCAACTGGTTATACTTCAACCATCTACTTAGAGAACGCAAATCTTCATTCAAGTGTAAAACGATATCTTCTTAGCCCTTAGCTGCTTCAAAAACTTCAAAAAGATTAATGTCGCAAAATCGTAAAACACGTCGCAAGTCATTAATGTACATAATAAATAACAGGGGCCCTTATACACTTCCCTGGGGCACTCCAAGGTTATTCTCCACGGGACTGGAAACAGAATCATTAAAAACAGTCCGTTGAGTTCTGTCAGACGAATAGCTTTTAAACCATAAATATGCATTACTCGTAACTCCAAAGCGCTTGATTGATCTAAACAATAAGGGTCTAGAAATTGTTTCAAAAGCGCGTTTAAGATCAAAAAAAAAAACAGAAACAATCGTATCGTTACACTCCAAGTTATTTTTCCACTTCGCTAATATCAAATTCAACACCGTTTCACAAGAATGATCTTCCCGATATCCCGATTGGTCTGGTATCAAGAAACTATTAGTATTTAAATATTCCAACAGCATTTTCTCTAATGTGTGCAACATGTTCCTTTGGTTTGTTTTTTTCCGTCGATCTTGTTTTCCGTGCTGAGCACCAATGCTACCGACGTGCCAGGAAGGCAGCTCCCACACCTGGACCCTACCTATCGACCCATCAACTCATGAACCGGGGACCAACGGCTTTACTTCCCATCCGAAGGAAGGCGTGATCAGAGATGTTATGCCTCAGAACATCCCGGCGGCGCCGACTGGGATTGAACCCAGGCCTGCTGGGGTGAGAGGTAATCACGCTTACCACTACACCACCGGCGCCGTTGTGCAACATGTTGATGGGACGAAACTCTTCGGCTTTAATGGGACGAAACTCTTCGGCTTTAATGGGACGAAACTCTTCGGCTTTAATCGTTCCAGCAACTTTTTGAATAGGGACCACTAAGGATTCCTTGAAAATTTGTGGCACATGTCCAGTTTGTAATGATTTATTAATAAGGTCCAGCAATATGTGGCCAATGACATAAAAGCAATCTTGAATAATTCTTGCATTAACATTATTTACTCCAGCCGATTTTCCTATTGAAAAACAAATAACTCTAAGTTCATCTAATGTAATTGTGTGAAAAACTTCAAATCTACAACTACTATTAACTGGCTGTTTTATTTCGTCAAGTTCATCGACCAATACAATGGATTGATTAATCAATGAAACACTGTCGACAAAATAATAATTAAACTTAGATGCAATTACTTGTTCTGACTGTTCTAATGTGCCATTACAAGTTTTGGACCGCGGTTTGCAATTACTGGGTGTTAATAGAGATTTAAAAATTTTCCATAACTCTTTACTTGTGTTTTGATGCTGATCATTCTTCTTTTGAACATATTCACACCGAGTTTTCTTTATCGATTGTAAATACTTATTAATCGCGATTGTGTACCTATTCCAATGATTGTCATTATTAGATCTACAAAACTTTTTGTACCATTTGTCCCTTTTCCGTTTAAGACGCAAAAGATCCAAATTGTACCAGCTGTTCGAGTTCTTCAAAGAAACAAACTTTTGCTCAACTTGTTGATTGGTACACGTTTTCAAAGCGTTATTAATATCAGCTTTAGATTCATCTAAGTTACCGGCCGCGAATGGAGCGTGGAGCTCCTCTCAACAAGATTCGAAACAGCTTGCTTCGAATATTTCCTCCAGCACTTCAATTTTACAAAATTATCGTTATCGTTAACATGGTCTAAGACATTAATCACTAAGGTCTCATGATCGGTTATTTCAAATCAGTATCCGTAACTGAACAAATGGAATCAAAATTGGAATAAACGTGGTCAATTAAAGTTCTACTGAGCCTGGAAATACGCGTATACTCATGTACCGTTTTCTTTAAATTAAAAAAAACTCAGCTAAACGCTTCAAATGATTCGAATTATGGTTATCACGCCAAATAATATTAAAATCACCAGCCAATATATTTAATTTACTAGAATCCAGGAATGTCTCGAACCAGTTTTCTAAAACTTCAGCAAAACGCTGGTCACTAGAACTGGGAGAATGATACAAAACAACATAATTACCCATCTTCATGCCACGTATAACTGTAATGCCCAAGAACCAGTTGCCATCAATAACTTCGTTGGTAAGAAGGTTGAATTGAACTGATTCTTTGACATAAATAGCAACACCGCCAGTGTGTCTAGAATGTGATAAACAAGCAGCATCAATATAGTCCGGAATACTATACTGATCAAAAGCTTCAGTTTCTACCATATGAGTTTCAGATAATAAAACTAAAAGAGGACGTTTTTCCTCAACAATCTGACGTAATGCTACGTAGTTTGTTGACAACCCCGCAAAATTCAAATACAAAAAATCGAATTGATTCACATTCCTGGAACTTGGCTGCTATTTATTGAAACGCAAGCTGCTTTTCTTCTGATCAAAAAGTCTTTTATAGAGCAAACATTCCGAGCTAAATGCGGCATGGCTGACGTCCAAGTTCATTTTACGTTCTTTATTCATTTTCAAACAATTAATACATTTCAATACAGTCCATCCTCTGTTTTAGAAGTGTAGATCGGCAATCCATATCATGCTCATGCTTAATGTTAAAAAAAATCTGAAAATTTGTAGATTGAAGGTTGCGGGTTGCAGGTTGTGTCATGAATATCACGAAAATTATTGGAACACAAGGGAAGTTCCGAGAGCTTTTTTTGTTAAATTAGGGACCATAAGAGAAAACTCGAGAACATTTGAAAATTAAGTGAAGCTTCATGAGCTTTAGCAAAGTATCTAAAGCATCAGAAAAGTTTCATGATAGATCAAGGAAATTTAAGGCAGTCCAATAGTCTTCAGGAAAATTAAAGGAACTTTTAAAGAGTTCGGAGATACTCAGGGAAGTCTAGAGAACATTTTTGAAGAACAGAAGTATTTAGGGTAGTTCCAATTACTTCAAGGAAGCACCGAAAACTTGAGAAAAGTCTAGACTTTGGGGAAGTTTAAAGATCTTGAAGAATTAGGATTGGAAAAAAGTATTGACTACGGTTATATCATCGTCAACGTTGAGCTCATCATCAAGGCTCATTTTAGTTTAGAATCGTTAAGATGTTTCAATTGAACAATAGACGGTACAGATATTTTTATATCCCATGAACGCCAAGTCGATGGACTGAAAAGCCCATATACGAACAATTTAATCTTTTTAAATGTTATGGCAAGCTGATATCAGACAACTTTATCTGTAGCCTATTAATTAGTGGGAACAAAACTACGATTATCAGCCTTCATTCGAGGGGGCACACATATGAACAAGTTGTGAGTAACCACTGTACGAAATGTGGTTCAGGTTCGACGTGAACACAAATGGTTCCAGTGGTCCAGATCATTGTAGCCTCCAATCAAAAATACTAAGGGCGATTCAAATATCTTCTTTTTGCCGGAAGACAGCCAAGAAATGTCGGTGGGTGCACGGTACCACCCACAACTCTTTTCGGGGGATTTCTGTACACGTGACGATTCGGTGCTATGGCTCTGTCTCGCATTCACCAATCGCAGCCCTGCGCAACGAATTTGCAATAACCTTCTTTTAATGTTGGAACTTTGGAGGAATTAATTATTTAACGTCAGTATCTGGTCCACAATCGACTGCCAATCACCGACGGAAATCGATGGCCATTATGCCATTTATGCCTCAGAAAAATCCCACCGACTTCGGCTGGGATTGAACCCAGACACACTGGGTTGAGAAGCAATCACCGACACCGGCTCGAAACTTTTTCTGCGATGATTTACAAATGATTTTGAAGCATGTTCTTCATAAATTGCAACCCAACAGGGACAGTTTAATTCTATTTCCATAGAAACTCATCAATTTGATAACTCACCTTTTTTTAATCACTTTTCAAACAGCTTTCATCTAAATCTTTTTTCCACTGTTTAACTTTGGTTTCTTACAGACAGCTTCACACCATAGACGCTAGCAGCCTTGGTTCAGGAACCCATCCAGTCTTGTTGCTTTGAAGTGTGTATACACCCGTTCGTTCACGCTCGCTTCTGGAGAAGAAAATTGCCGGCAGCTGCTGCTTAAGAAATACCGCTTTTCCAACGCAAACGAGCTGAGACATAACACTGCCTGTGGAGGGAGCTCCTGTTGCTCTAAAAAACACCAAGGAAAAAAAAACGCGAGTATACACGTAATGGTAACAGTGCTGTAATTAAAGCTAAGCCCGGTTTCCTTTTGAAAGTCGGTCGAGATTTTGAAGACTTGGTTCCGTTTCATCGTCACCGGTTTGGAAATCGGACTAACGCGCGCGAGCTCGTATTCATAAAAAAAAGGAAGCTTGGTCCAGGAGAAATAGGATTGCGATAATAAGGGGCTCACATTGCAAATGGAAGCTCCGTGGAAGTTGGACGAAAAAACACGCCCGAAAGCATCCGTTCGTCGCTGAGATCGGATTAGAGTGGGGGGAACGGTTTCTTGTGAGACTAAATTTCGGAAATAACGGTCGCATTAAAGTCCAAGGCGCAGTGTTCAAACAGACGTAGAAGGAGTTTTGAACATTTTCCTTCCCGATTATCTTTCTTGGGTGCTTGGGAGAAGTGGCACTTCTATTTCGGCTTCTGCGTTTCTGTGGAAGACGGACGAAGAGTTTGCAGTGTAAAAATTCGAATTCGGTGAATTAAGGCATTCTGGAGAGTGGTCTGTCATTGTGGCACAAAGCTCGGCTACGAGTACTGTCGACAGAAAGCGGGTAAGTGTATTTGTTCGTTATGGATTGTTTTTCCCCATTTAATTTGTTAGATGTTATGAACTTCACAGCATTTTGGGTACATTTCGGGCATCGTTTGTGGATTGAATGAATTTTTGAGTGATTAAAATTAGACTTGTAATTATGGTACGGCACAGCAGTTGGTTTGCTGCTCAGAATCATGGTAATGTCATCTCTGATTTAGACTAAATTATTTAACTTATAATAATATAGCACAGACAGACAAACAGATACAACTCATGGAATATTTATCACGCTGGCGGTAATGTTTAAACGTCAAACGCCAAGGCAGTTGACTATGAGCGCCACGCACAGTTGGCTATGCTACCAACCAAGGAAAATTTTGATAATTAATTGCTTTTTCGATGAACAACATGGGACTGTTATGCTAGTGACTACTTCGAATAAAGCTCCAAGAAATTATTTGAACTAATTTTTGACTCAACTTTAGTCTTAATGGACCAATAGTATGTTGATAGAACAGTAGCATTTCGCCGGTTGTTTCACCTCGACCCGACTAACGTATTACAATAGCCTTTGGTTCGAGCAAATATTGTAAATTAACAAAATGGTTCCCTCTTCTATTATCCCCAAGACACGATTTTTCCCGACACTAGCGGCTCTAGTGGCGCAAAATGTGACTCATACTCTGTAAATTGAGCGTAAAAAGGCAGTTGAGAAAAGTTTTACTCGCACGGTAAGAAATAAATACCCAAATTAAGTTTATATCTCAAGCGCCGCCGGGATTTTCTGCGGTATAAAATCTCTAATCACAAAGGGTGGGTGTGGGAGCTGCTTCATTGGCGTTGGTAGCATTGGTACTCAGTACGAAAAGCAAATCAAGAAAAAAAAGTTTATTTCTCCCAACTAGGTACTAAAGTGTGGGAAACCAAAAGTATGCAAAGTCCCATGTACTCAATTAATCATGTTTTGTTGTTTTTGACATCATCCACATCCAGAGGGCCAATCACTTTCGAATGTATGGAAATAATAGGTACCCATTTGGCATAATTTCAAAAATTTCAGTTTTTATTCATTATCGTCTTTATGAGCAGTTTTAGCTGCACAAAAATTGCACGAGTACATTACTATGGTGATAAGGTAAAAACTCGTTAATTTGTTTTCTTCTGTGAGAGCATTTTTAGTCACAAATCGTGGATTTTCTGATATTCTCCATACTGCAAAAATGATTTTCCTACCAATGAAAGGGTGGCATCTCTCGGATCTTCAGTATAGCTACTACTCAAATCATATAATAAATTTTAAGTACTCGCAACAAAGCTAGGTAGAATTAACTTGATGGTTAGAAGGAATGAATGGTGTCCAAAAAAGTAAAAAAAAAAGTAGTAGGGTCTGTGTCTAGAGGCACGAACGGAAGCTTGACTAAGGACGGCTAGTGAACGGAACAAATATGTTGATCATTTAGTTAATCATTCCGTTTTTTAATTGGTGGCGCTGAAAAGGGGCAGTTTTTTTTAAATGGTGGCCACACCAGTGCAAGCAGTTGCCGATCGGATGACAGCGACCTAGTCAGGTTGCCTATTGCGGGAAGCCTTTCCTCCGGACGATGTGGATGATTTCGTCGTCATATCAGTGATGTCACATATACAGATTTATCTGTAATGATACAGATATCAGTATATACAGATTACGGATTGTTTTTTTATATACAGATTTTTTTAGATTTCAGGTTCAGGATTTCGAGGTCTTTTAAATAGATTAATTTTTTAGAAAGCAAGCTTAACTCATTCTTAAAGATTCTACACTATGAACAAACTCTTTCTGAACTTCAAATGGACTCAAAGAATATTTACGACGATCCGCAATAAGATCATACCATAGAATTTATACAGATTATTTTACAGATTTTTGTCGGCCAGAAATAGATTTAAAAGATTGTTTGCGGTGAAAATACAGATTGAAAATGGAAATAATTTGGCAACACTGGTCGTCTTCGTATTGGTGAGATGCGTGCTGTTCCACTCATACCTCTTGACCGATGCTTATCCGTCCGTTGCTCGAAAGTAAATGACGATAAAATCGATTTGGCAAACTCACTGCTTTTCTCCTCCCTTCCTTTCATTGGTGAAATGGTGAGCGATATACCGAACATTGAGCTCGCTCTTGTGAGCATGCGCAATGTGTCGTTTGTTCGAATTGCGCTCTATTGTTGCGTCCGTGTTTGAGATTTTTCGTTACTTGTCTGAATTTCGAATTTTTTTAATATGACCCCCAGTATAGAAATTAAAGACGTAGTCATACGTCAAAAGGAAACAGACTGGGCTCGAACCATCTTCTTTTTTCCTTTATTTAACACCGGTCTCTGTTCCGCAATCTTGTGCCAAACACCGACGGACATCGATCCCATTCCATTGATGGCAATTGCATGTGCAGAAAGGCAGCTTCCACACCTACGTAAGATATCGCACCCATTCAAACACATATGAGCCGGGACCAACGGCTTTACTTCCCTTCCGAAGAAAGGCGTGACCCGGGGTTTTTAATGCCATTTTTTTTCTCTGTTCGAGACCTAACACCACTGTGACCAGTAATTTGATCTATTGTAGTACATCCCGTGTCCTTAGTTTAGTGCATGTCGTATTACTCCATCATTATTGAGAAATGATGAAGTATTCGATTTTTTTTTACAGTTGTCATTCTTGCCTTTATCGCAAGGATCCGACTCTAATTGAAAGGTCCCGCTATTTATACCCTTCGGAGTGTTGAAACACCCTCCAAAAGTGCTCCCCTTTGTCAGTCAAAATTGGATTCCTTAGCAACAAAATTAAGGAATGACACCGGTTATGACCATGCATCAGAACCCTAGTCTTACCCATTTCAAACTAGGGAACAACGAATGGAAGATTAGGAATCAAATAGATGAAGACTAACTAACTCATTTTTTCCTTGTTTCAAGATCATCCTCGGTTGACAAAGCCGAGTCTTGTCACTTTCAACAAGGCATAAAAAGTAACAAGGACTATGATGTGTTCCTTGGATTACTGAAAAATCCTGTTTCCCAAGTAACACATAAAACATCTTTTGAAAAAGAATTAGAACGGATTGTTGTATAAATGTATTATAAGAGATGCAGAAAACATCCTACGTTATATATGAGGTTTAAAGATGTTTTCTTCATACTTCTTCGATTCAACATTTTCTAAAATAGTTTTCTTTTGCTTTTATCTTTAAATGTTATTTGAACGTGCATCTTAAAGTTTTAATACCACTATAAAACTTATCGTATACAACATCAATCCAGATTGACGTAAACATTGACGGTGCATTTGAGCCGGACTGTCTCTTCATGCCGTGATTGACAGTTTCTTATGAGGTATTCGGAGGTTTGTTATAAAGAAAGTTGAAAATACTTTTTTATGACATCTCATAAATTAATACAACTGAAAATGTGCAGGTTGTCTTATAAGAAGTTGAAAATACGTTTTAATAACATTCTGGCTATTAGATGTACGCTTTGCTACTAACAAAACGTCTTCATGACGGATCGAAGGCGTGTTGAACGAGAAAATAATTTTCATGCCATTGGCAAGAACATGATAGATACTTATAACAAACCTTTCATCAAGCGGTGTTGGTCTAGTTAGGTAGAAACAAGTCTACCACGCCAAGGACCAGTGATCGAATCCCATGCTCAAGATTTTTTTATTGTTTTTTTTTGTCGTTGGTTTTCATGATGTTTCCAAAATACATGTTATAAGACCAGTATTTAGTTGTATAAGCTCCGCGTCTTGCGCTTTTTAGGTTGTATAAATGTTTTAAATGATGTATATTAAAGTATTGGTGATTCTTTGCGTTAGTCATTACAAAGTATTTTCAACTTCTTTATGACAAGCCGTGTTGCTTGGGAGGACTATGAATCGGTGGTAGATCTTACATCCCGTAACGTACCACGAAAAGGTGATCTACCCACGTTACGGGGCTTTTTATACCTTAGAAAAACCCCCAGACCTCTTGGGGTGAGAAAGCAGTCACGCTTAGCACTACACCACCGGCACCGGCATGGGCTCCAACCATGGACGTTGCGATTATTAGGCCTATGTTTTCACCACTCGTCTGTCAATACTTGGGAAAACGACCAGTCAAGGCATATAAGAAGCGTTTTTTTTTCCGAAATGTGTTAAATTTTACACATTAATGTGTTTACACTGGTTACCGTGTAAGCTATATCAAGATGATTAATCATGAGTTTTCGAAATGGAATTCAACATTGAAATTCCCAAGTAGGGATATTGTATAGAATGCTTAACCATAGATGTGCTTTTGAATGATTTTTGTAAATTGGCCAATAAACATTGGCCGGAAATGCACTTCTGTTAAGAATCAAAAAACTTTTCAAAATTTAGTAGGTTATAATATACTAACCAACTTCCAGCTGATAGCTTCGCCTTCGGTAGTTCCTTAGCTGTTAATTTTTCTGCAGTACCGTGGATCCCCGGTAATCTAACCGTTCTTAATTTGTACGCTTTTTAGTTCTAGCCTAGCCATAGGCGTAGCCAGATAGGGGCAGGGGGGGTCGACTGCCCCCCCCCCCCCCTAAACTCGGCAACACAAAGGCTTTCGAGGAAATGGCGTTCGGTGAAATGGCATTCGGCCAAATTTTCCATGGTAATTTTTTTTTCGCCCCTCCCTAGCTCGAAACCTGGCTACGCCCTTGAGCCTAACTGTCATCTACCGCATGGAAGAGAGTAAAGGCCCAAACGCAATGTGGGTGGAAGTGGGACGAAAACGGCAAGTTTGACAGTTGTCACAAATGACATCAAGATGTCTAACCGGAGTCGATTTGTTTCTAAATAGTTTTCAATCCGACAAGTAGGCTACTCAGATTGGGCTCCACAACACTCAACTTTATCGTTTTTGTTTTGACCTATGATGGTTTTGACGTATGATAGAGAAAGCTAGTAACTAGAGAAACATGTAAAAAAGGCCTATTTACTAAATGTAAATAATAACGACGCTGGTGG